GCAGTTAGGCTTTCTACGCAGCATAAACTGATGAGCGAAAAATAAAGTGATGAAGGTGCTAATCAAAAATAATTTTATCATTGTTCGTCAGCTTAACTTAAGTATCACCAGAAAAAATAGTCCCCGAAGAGCTTCAAAAGTTGGCAGGTAAACCTTTTATCAGGTTTTTGTCCTTGAGACATTATTGTCCAAATTATCTTTGCGTCTGGGTTGCTTCGAAGGCAGCTTGCGACGTAAGCTGTCTTGTTCCTGGAGCAAGTTCAAGCTGTCCTCTTCCATACCTTGTTCCTGGAGCATACCTAGAGAGGGTTTCGAAAGTTTTTCTACTCTCCGAGCCCGGCTTGAGGCCAGGTTCGACTTGTGATAACTTAGTCCAACAGGCTGGAGCGGTCCACATATCCACTACAGTCTGGTTGTGTCAGCCTCGGGTTATTCCGAGGGTATCCTCACCTCTCGACGTCGCAGGTTGTGGTGGCAGCGTCGGGCTCATGGTGTCGCTCAGCCTGCCTCCCTAGTGGTGCCTCTGGTGCCTCTTACCTGGCAAAGGTCCCTCGTATCAGGACTCTGAAACCACTCGCCGTTTCTACCATACTCGCAGAGAACGCATCCTATCATTTCTGTAAATTATTGCCACGACTTAACATAGTCATTTCTTCAGTAATAACAAATTATAATATGCATAACAATTGAATCTCTGAGCTAATGCACATTGTGAGTGTTGCCCTCTCAGCAAATTACGAGTGCCTTTTTGCTGACTTACAAATAAAAACTCTTAAGCATATCGCAAATCATCCGTTCTTAACAATTGAATTATAGCTTTGATGTGAGCCTGTGACGGTTGGCAGCCTTTCGTGGAGATGTACCCTGCGGTGACCTGCTTCCGCTAGTTAACGGCTGAGAGTGTTAGACAAAAAGCTTCAAATGTTCTGACTATATCTTTGCTTTTCTGTTGTCACCAAGTTAAAATACGGGTGCAATATAGGGAAGACTTTATGAAATAAGTGCGTGCGAGCTGGTACCTTTGGAGAGTGGCTGCCGGCACAATACCCCTCACAGGTCAAGGGTCGTAACCCAATTAGCAGATTAGAAAATGCACAGGTCGCGGGGTCGAAGTGGCAACGAAACGACTGGGAAGTAGGTTCTTCTTGTACTCACCTGCCGCCATTACTGCTGGGAAGAGGCCAAGAGGCCCATAACCCACACTCGTACCCACGACCCCAGTATCGCCTTTGTGCCGGAGGCTCACAAGAGCTGGAATTAACATTAAGTTGATTAGGGCTTTGGCTCTTGAAATGTGAGGGGGGTTTTAGTGGAGGACTGCGCAGGAGTGAGGGACTAGAAGCGATGCCAGTCGAGTTCCAGCGCCATCCTGGAGTAGCTGGTAGTGGATGGCCCTCTGGAACGTCGACTACCACTTCACATTTCTGCCTAGTGTTAACTTTAGTTACACTTACAGATATTCCAGAATAAATTGTCAAAGCCATGTTTTTCGCGAGTTCCTGGTTTTAATGTGATCGTAAGCGACATACAACAACGCACGAAGAGATCTTTGCTGCAGAGAACACCGACCAACAATCTCACTGGTGCAATACTTCAAGTCTTGTAGTGTAAGCAACCAGGAACATGGTATGCTGGACGCTGTATGGTGTAAAGCCTCAATTGCGACATACGTACAGTAAGTTATTCACTACATTATTGCTTTAGGGTTGTAGAGAGCGAATCCAGCGGGAGTTTTATGGATAGCGAGAGTAAACTTTCATAGATTGTTGTTTACATTTGATTACATTCAAGGAAAATAGTCGCTAGTTCTATAATGCGACGCTGATGCGTTCTGCGTAATTGTTTATGCGCACAACGCAAGAAGCTAGACATGCGCGTTTAAATAAGCCAACACTGTCTTCCAAGGAAATATTTTTTCGCCGATTTACTGAGTTTTATTTACATAAATAATTACATATTTATTATAACTTAAATATCATCTAACGTTACATAATATATTGTCTTAATTATGTAAATTTAAATGTAAACAGGTCTGTTTCGGAATTTTATATGTAATTTGACAGACTTTGACAATAGCAATTTTGCTAGCACCACCACAATGTTTAGTCGATATTTATTGTCTTGACACTGTCAAGTACATCTGCGCAGGGGCGCCTGACAGCTGGGTGGACAGCGCTTCGGATTCGTAGTCCTGAGGTTCCGGGTTCGATCCCCGGTGGAGGCGGAGACAAATGGGCAAAATGTTTCTTTCATCCTGATGCCCCTGTTACCCAGCAGTAAATATGTATCTGGGAATTAGTCAGCTGCTCATAGCCTTCCCGGTTTGGTGCCATCTTTTGATAATTACTTAGTCAGCTGCTACTGGATGCTTCCTGGGGGAAGGGGAGGGGGGTGTAACAAAAAGGAGGCCTGGATCGGGCCGCGGGAACGCTAAGCCCCGAAATCATCTCAAGATAACCTCAAGATAGGCTTAAGATTGCGCTTGCAATCTTAAGCTTAATTAACTATAATAGGTCTTGGAACTGTTTGGTCGTTACCGCCTTCCTCGGGCCCTCGGCAAAAATTAATTTTACAAAAGTAATTTTACAAAAGAAACACAAAAGTGTTTCTTTCTGGGGTTTGGGGGAGGTACTGTCCATATATTTTACTCTATATACCATTATTACCATTACTATTATTTTACTTTACTATATACCATTCATAATAGCTACATGTACTATCATTTTTTGGAGGATGGATTGACTTAAGTATATACCTGCAAATGTAGTTACTTTTCTTTGAACATGGATAATTTGACAAACTGTACGATATTTCAAATTTAATTTTTGTCTTGATCAAGTATGAATGTTTTCTATACTTGATGTATCGAGTGGGTGGGTTATGGAACGGCTGGTGTAGGGAAAAGGTGGTAATGTAGTAGGGAAATGGGTAGTGTAGGGGGTAATGGGTGGGCGAGTGGGATATAGGTAGGGTGTAAGAGGGAATGGGGGTTGTAGGAGGGAGGAGGGCCATTTAGAGGGATGGGTGTAGGAGTTAAATAGGTGCAAGGGGGATAGTGATGAGGTATAGTGGCTGTTGTAGAGAGCATGATGAGTGGGTGTTGCATAGGTGCAAGTGCCTGAAGCAGTGAAGTTGTGTGTATCTGCAATGTAACCCTGTGACCCTCCTGTGCGTCATACCTGTGAACACCCCCCCCCCCTCCCCCCATCCGGATGCGTCACCTCTTGCCATTTTGAGGATTTCTTAAAAAGTAATATCTTTATAATGTCATGCAACTTTTCCTTAAAATGCATTCAAACATTTTCTACCACTTTGTTTCAAAAGTTTCTAATGAAATGAATGTCGTCTGTCCTAACATGCCCACATGGGGAGGGATTGTGTTACCTGTATAGGGTCTCGGGAGGTCTTCTACGCCACGAGTCCAGCCTGAGGTCAGACTCGACTTGTGATAACTTGGTACAACAGGCTGTTGCTAGCAGCAACCCATAAGCTCATGTATCCACTACAGCCTGGCTGGTCCGGTACTTCCTGCAAGAAATCAAGCTCCAAGGATTTCAATATATAGGCAAGACCTCTCAAGATATCTGACACAGCACACAACTGACAAGGTGTTACAACCAGAAAATCACCAGTGATATCCTGATGAACAAAGAAATAACTGAGGGATACAACAACAAAAATATTAACCAAATATTGGTTAATATATAGAGAGACCAAACTCTCACAAGACAAGCCTGGCCTCGGTGCCGGGCTTGGGGAGTAGAAGAACTCCCAGAACCCCATCATCGACATCGACTCCCAGAATCCCAAGGCATCGACTGAGTAACACTTCAACCTTACCCTACACAGTTATTTACAATACTGTTGTTTCATTTCATTTGTATCTACCTGGTTGATACCTGGTTGATGGGGTTCTGGGAGTTCTTCTACTCCCCAAGCCCGGCCCGAGGCCAGGCTTGACTTGTGAGAGTTTGGTCCACTAGGCTGGTGCTTGGAGCGGCCCTCCAGGCCCACATACCCACCACAGCCCGGTTGGTCCGGCACTCCTTGGAGGAATAAATCTAGTTTCCTCTTGAAGAATCTACTTACCTTTTGCCTCTTAAGATATTGAAAGCTTCGATGAAATGCATCATTCAGTGTCCAGCCAATACAGTTGTAAAATAACATTTAAAGAGTTAATTTTCAACTTCCAAGTGAAGAACGTAGAAATAGATCAACGATTCGAACATAAATCATCAAGGACACTTTTGGTTACTCTCAATAATTTAATTACTACGCCCTCAACACATCCACTCACCCTACATACATGTGTGCACCCTATACATATGTGCGCGCCCATTACACCACACAAACGGCAGAATTGATAAAGAGAAATTGCTTGATAAATCAAGCATGCAACACCATAGAACAAGATGACAGATTTGACAGACAGATGGAATGCTGCAACATCAAGAATAAGATGACAGATTTAAACTAAAAAAATCAAATTGCAGAATTTTTTTTCTTTGCAAACAGAGTGAACAAGTGAAAAGACAGTGGATGCCAACATTGTCACTAGTGGTTTCAAAGCATCATGTGACAGGGTACTGGGAAAATTGGGACACCACGAACATAGCTCTCATCCTTTGACTACACTAAAGTAATTACACACTCTGTGCCAGAGTACACTGATATGTATTCTTGATCCGTACTGTACCTCTATTAAAATCATATTCTTAGAATACTGTTAAAGTGCTGAAAATTGTTCATTAAATCGCCACTTTGATACTCAACATAAATTAAAGAATTAACTTTCCTGTCAACATTGGTAGGAAGTTTTATTTTGGAGGTGCTGCTTGCTGTATTACTCATTACATTACCCTATTCATATCTTGAAATGTGCCAACCCAGTTACATTCATTGCCTTCCATGTGAACACACAATATTTAGTTATTACTAATGTAAGAGCTATATGAACTTAGTTATTGCCAAGAAAATTAAGATTTTTTTTTTTTTTACAGGTGGCTATCCAAGTGCAGAAAGCATGGGTGCGGTGAGCGAGCCCCCATCAGAGGGTTCCCCGGGAGGATTCGTACCCCAACCTTACACCGAAGCTGACCCAGAGCCCTACCACACACTGCCTGATTCCCATCACCCTGCTGTCCACTACCTCGACCCATCTGCACATGACTTTTACAGTCTCCATGACAAGTATCGGTTGTCCTACTTCAAGTACCCACAGCCCACAGCCACCCACAGGTATACACATGAGTACCCTGATGGTTATTCAACGCCGCACTACGACCCACAGTTCCAGACAGTACCACAAGCGCTACCAGAGCCATGGGCGACAGCAGCTGCGCAGGGACATGACCTCTCGCAGATTAACAGTGGTGTTGGGGGCCCCAATTTAGCTCACTATCTACCAACTCGTGCTGATGTTGCTACCCCGGACACTAAGCCTCCCCCTGGCCTCCTTGGCCCTAGTTCTGCGGCGCTGGGGTACCAAACTGGTAATGGTGGTCCCTGTTTCACTGGCTCTGGACCTATCCAGTTGTGGCAGTTCCTCTTGGAGCTGCTTACAGACAAGAAACAGCAGCAACACATCTCTTGGACAGGTGATGGCTGGGAGTTCAAATTAACAGACCCAGATGAGGTTGCGCGACTCTGGGGCATGAGGAAGAACAAGCCTAAGATGAACTATGAGAAGTTGTCCCGAGGTCTGCGGTATTATTATGACAAGAACATAATTCACAAGACAGCTGGCAAGCGATATGTCTACCGATTTGTCTGTGACCTCCAGTCACTACTTGGGTAAGTCTAGTAAAATTGTTCCCCCCTTGATATTTTATTTATGATACTAATTACTATACAGTACTGTATATAGATGGCATTGTTGAACTTTGTATTTTAGAAGATATTGTAAGAGTTAAGATCAAGTTAAGTTAAGTGTGTTAAGATCAAGTTTTTCTTGTGCTGTCCTGTTATAAAACTAATTCTAATTAACATAAATCACTGAGGAAATGTAAAAACAAAAAATAAAAAAAATAAAATAAATTAATATTTGTCTCGTCTTGCAGTTACTCGCCGGAGGAACTCCATGCAATGGTTGATCTCAAACCCGAGAAGAAGGATGATGATTGAAGTGTGACTCAAACTGTCGACCTCTTCCCTTCCCCAGAGTTATAGTGCAGAGCAGGTCAGGCAGGGTGGGGTCAGAGATCCCATAACCTTTATTTCTTGGGACTTGCTTCCTTATAGTTATCAGAGACATTTTGTTCTGTGCTGCTGCTGGGTGCTTCTTAGCCAGATCTATTCTTCAATAAAATCAATACAGTACCAACAGCAAATTTGCCGCCTGCCGACATTGTTGGTTAGCCAAACATTCACATATAACTTTGTTAAAAGGCTGTATCTGCATTTTTATCGACAACATGTTCCACAGTTAATGTGGAATTTTTTTAATAGTTTTATTTTTGTAAATACAGTATGCCATTTGTCGGGCATTTAGACTAGATTTTATGTTTGTATAGTCAGATGTGTGGAGGATGCTGCCCAGTCCATGTTGGTGTGCTTGTGTTGTGTGCACACCTTGTACCTGTGCAGAGGTGTTTCTGTGCACAGCCACTGTTGTGCACAGTTATTGTCTGTGCTCAGCTGCTGTGTGCAAAATTCATGTAAACAGCCAATTGTACCTGTACTTGTTCTGTGCACAAGACCTGACTGTAATATTAATTATTTTAAGTTATGGACGTAGTGATTCATGGAGATGACTATAAAGAGTGCTTTCAAAACTACAAGTGCTATGTATTAGTGTCAAAATAGTAGGTGTCACAAATTGGAGTGGCCATTTTTTATTTTTGCATATATGATCGATATATATATAGCCCTTAGCTTGCTGTCACTAACTTTCAAAAAATATATATAAAAAAAGTTCCCCAGCAGTATCAAAGGTGGCAAAGCAGGGTCCAAGAAGTCACCAAAATGTGATAAGGGCTTTGAATTGTCATAGAAATCAAGAGTCAGTACCACTGGTGTGACTGCCTTTTACTGCTGCTCGACTAAATAGCGATCTTCCATCGTGCCTTCTTTATCCCAATGGTCTTTCTGAGGACTAAACAATTTGCGGTAGATGCATGGGAACCAAGCACTTACTGAGGCTTCCCTGAGGGGGCCATGCACTTCACTGAGGTCTCTTAAATGTACCAGCTGCTTCACACCAACGAGGTCTTCTTAAGTACTGTACTGTATACTAGCTTAACCACAAGTGCATTCCCCAAAGATATAAACGGCTTCAATAGCAATGCTTCCAGTGGTATGATCCTCTAAGAGGGACAAACAACCTCACCACTGTGGTCCCTTACACGAGCTCCTCGGGGCTATAAACTATTTTACTTGTTAGGTTCTCAGGGGGTACCAGTTTTTTCACTAGTGTACTTCTTACTAGACATTGTACCTGCATAAAAAGCCAGATGCTTGTGGTACTAAGGGCAAATCTTGAAAATAAAAATGTGATGTTACTTCTAAACTTTAATTCCAGGTCACAATACACAGACTGTGATGTAGTAGGAAAGCAAATCCATAAAATCAGTATTTGTGTACTATTTTATCAAGAATTTTATTTTGTATAGAAAAACTTTACAATTCTCCATGATTCTTGCAACTGGAGGTAATGGTGTTTTGTTGTTTGTTGTGATAACTTGTTGAAAATATTGACTGTTGGATTTTATCTTCTGAAATATGACAATCAAATTGGATATCCTCATTGTAATGTTCTAATCACTCATGACCTTAAAAACAATGACAAATACCAAAAAGAAATATGTTATTTACAAAGACTTACAAGGACATAACTGCTCCTACCACAACCATAATTCTTCCAGCCATCCTCGGTTAGAACTTCAAACTTCCAGTCTTCCTTAGCTTATACAAGTTCAAATTTACAACCATCTTTGGCATATAAAAAGCTCAAACTTTAAGCTATCTCAGCACAGAAGTTCAAACTTCTAGTTACCTGTGGCATAAAGTTCTGTAGAATTTTAGTCATTAACTGCAAATTTAAGCTGAGCTTACAACCGTCACCAGTGATTTCTGCCGTAATTTCCGCCCACACTTTACAGGAGCCGTCCTATCTCATGCCTAATAGACATACGTGCCAAGCCCACAGATGGGTGCCACTACTCACTCTTTCATAGACCTGATGCTATCTGATTTCACCCTTGTGACAATTTCAGTGGTACCTTCGACATGCAGTTTTCAGGCTGAAAACCTGTTGCAAAGTAATGTATATTAAGAAATAAAAACTTCCTTACGGGCTTCCAGCCTTTTAAAAAACATCATAGCCTTGGTGCTCAAGTAGAGTGTTGATAGTTGTAAAACCAGCATAATGGCTGATGATAACTGTTGGTCTAGTTAGCCTGAAATTAGCTTTTAGCCACATAAAACTTTATTACTGATCCAGTTCATTATTTGCCTTTGGCTGTAGAGTTTGTTTTATAAAATAATAACAGCAAGTTGCAATGCCATGGCTGAAACCAATAAATGCTAAACTCGCACATAGATGTGAATGGGTGATAAAGTCTTGGTTCTAAACTATTGAGAGTTTTGAACACACACATGGGCCCAATTGACCTAAAACTTTATTAACATTTCATGTCTGATGTATGAGCTTAGTTTTTAAGTAATGACAGAAGACAGCTGTTTAATTTCAAGTCATTACCAGTGCCCAATGTGCATGGTTTCAAAGGATATCTGAGAGGTCAGTAGATTGTCCAGTGAACAGTTATTTTACCAAATAAATCAAGTGCTAATGAACTTGAATGTATGTTTGTAAGGACACATGTGCATATTTAACATACATGTTATATCTAATAGCCAGAACTGAATAACTAGGCTAGGACCAATTTGCTTGTTAGGCAACTGTATTTTCTTGCATATCTGCACAAATTAGTCAATACATTTTAATTGACATTGCTGTATAATAATTACTAATTTATTTAGGCCTAGTTTTATTTACGTTAGGCACCAGAGTTAAAGAATACTAGGCATATTTAGGTTAGGCCAGGTTTGCTAAGTTAGTTTTAGTTTAAATTTAAATGTTTGCATATCTTGTTTTTTTTAAAGATTATATCTATAAATACGTGTATATAAATTAAAATGTTTGATAAAGGAAAATTTTAATAAATTCAGCTTTTTAGGCAACTCTGGCTATTAGATATGACATTCAGTATATATATTTATATACACTGTATATATATTTATATATACCATATCTATATATATACAGTATAAATTATATACAGTATATACATAGACACACACACACATACACATAGTATATAAAAGGTGTGTAGTTGCAGATTACAAAACAATGTAGAACTGCAAGATAAACCTTGTATATGATTTACTATGTTTGATGCTTGGTTGTTGAGAAAGTGATGCCCTAGAGCAGCATCGGTGTGATGACTGCACTGAGGAGCCGAGGATTCTGCCGCAAGATGCCCCATGAGACTAGCTAGCTCCAGCAATATTTTAGTAGCCTCAATACCTGATCCAGGTGCTTCTCAGTTTATTGAATGGGATTTTGATTCGGCTGCCATTAATATTTATATTCAGATTATTTACATGTAAATACTGTAGTTACAATACGGCTTGGTTTTAATACTGTGTTTGCGATAACTCGATTCATGGCTCTAATTAAATTATTTTGTTTGTGTATTAAAATTAAATAAACTGTTAAGTTGGAGGTATAAAATGCTTGAAGGCATTAGTTATTTTCATATTGATCTTGCTTTTAAGAATCCCTATCAGCTGTATTTTAAAGGTAATAATATCTTTTTTTGTTATACTTAAAAGCATTTATAAATTAGCTACAAAACAAGATACAATTGCCTTGAATAACCAGCTACAATGATGCCAAAAATTTGTGTGCATCATTATTTATGGCCAAATTTATTAATATTTATTTTCACTTGTTTCCTTTGTATTCTGGACTTGATGATGTGTACATAGTTATGTTTTGTCTCTAGTTTTAGACTTATGAATGTTGAAGCTAAGATGAATGTTGGTCATACATTTCCAAAGTATGTAATTATAATTTCATGCTTTAAGCTCTAGTTGTAATGCTAATATACTTATAAGTTCAGAATTTGCTCTAATGATTTTTTTTACAAATTATTATTCTGGTCTCTAATTTGAATATATATACCTGATATAAATTAAATTAATTACAATAGATATTTTCGAGAATTTTGATGTGAGCTATATTTTGACAAGCCATATTGGTTCTTGTGATAAGCTCAATATTGTTGAAGATGCAGAATCTCAAAAAATGGGCTTCAAGTTTTTACCAAAATTCCCATGGCTGTTGTATATACAGGATGTGTAAAAAGCTAAAAATAAAAGAATGATTGTATTTCTTGGTGTCATTTATCCTTTAGATAGAAAACAATATTAAGTACAAAACACAATAAAATCTACTGAAAGTAGGAAAGCAACATCTAAAGGACCCGAGAATGATGTCTGAGGCTGTAACGCTTAGGGAGCATAACCAAGCAAATAGAGCATCAGTTTAAACAGTATAATTGATGAGTTTTGTCTTACTGCAAATTCTCTGATAAACAGTCATTATGGCTACCGTATTTAATTTTTTACTAGTGCTTTTATTTACTTGACAAGGTGCTTAAAATAAACCGCAATGCATACGCCACATGCATTATCAAACTAAATTGTGATGACTACTGCAGCTTACTACATGGATTATCTACCTTGTGGTGGTCACTGTTGTCTGGAGGATAGCCAGATTTCTTAGTGATCTTATCAAATTGTTGGTTCTTGCAACTGGTGGGTCAAATAACTCTTGTTGGTTATGTGTCAACTTCTTACTTGAGCACAATTAGAAGCCTGTTGGTAAATCCTGTTATACTGTATTTGGAGGGAGGATGTTGAGAACCTTTGGATCCTTTATGTTCGAAGTCATCACTTACTATACTGATATGTTTCTTAATGGGGTTATTTTTGGCATGCTAGTACAGATGTGGAACCAGTCAATAATATTTTTTGTAGGTAGATTATGATTTATCCTTTCAGGAAACACTGAGATTTTAAGTGTTCTCCAAAATTTGAGCTACACTGAATGGAAAAATGATTTTTTGGAACACTCCAGGTCACCAATTTTTCAGGCCTTTAATGGAATAGTTAATGCATAGTAGTATTCCACCTTGGAGTACTAGTGTTATCATTGGTTTGGCATCTCTTGTTTGGAAAGTTTAGTTGCAACTGTCTTTATGATATTTTTTTAAATTCATTACCTACCTTGAGGTGCTTCCGGGGCTTAGTGTCCCCGCGGCCCGGTCGTCGACCAGGCCTCCTGGTTGCTGGACTGATCAACCAGGCTGTTAGACGCGGCTGCTCGCAGCCTGACGTATGAGTCACAGCCTGGTTGATCAGGTATCCTTTGGAGGTGCTTATCCAGTTCTCTCTTGAACACTGTGAGGGGTCGGCCAGTTATGCCCCTTATGTGTGGTGGAAGCGTGTTGAACAGTCTCGGGCCTCTGATGTTGATAGAGTTCTCTCTCAGAGTACCTGTTGCACCTCTACTTTTCAACGGGGGTATTCTGCACATCCTGCCATGTCTTCTGGTCTCATGTGGTGTTATTTCTGTGTGCAGGTTTGGGACCAGCCCCTCAATTATTTTCCACGTGTAAATTATTATGTATCTCTCCCGCCTGTGCTCAAGGGAGTACAGATTTAGGCTCTTTAGGCGGTCCCAGTAATTTAGATGTTTTACTGAGTGGATTCTAGCAGTAAAGGATCTCTGCACGCTCTCTAGGTCAGCAATTTCTCCAGCTTTGAAAGAGGCTGTCATTGTGCAGCAGTACTTCACTCTAGAGAGCACCAGCGTTTTGAAAAGTATCATCATCGGTATAGCATCTCTAGTGTGAAAAGTTCTTGTTATCCAACCTGTCATTTTTCTTGCAGTTGTCACGGCTACTTTATTGTGTTCTTTAAAGGTAAGGTCTTCCGACATGAGTACACCCAGATCCTTTACATTGCCTTTTCGTTCTATGTTATGATTTGCCTGAGTTTTGTACGTGGTTTCTGTTTTTATATTTTCTATTTTTCCGTAGCGCATGAGCTGGAACTTATCCTCGTTAAACACCATATTATTTTCTGTAGCCCATAGAAAGACCTGATCTACATCTGATTGGAGGTTTGCCGTGTCCTCTATGTTGCCAACTCTCATGAAAATCCTAGTGTCATCTGCAAAGGATGATACAGTGCTATAGGTTGTGTTCTGGTCTATGTCCGATATGAGGATGAGAAAAAGTACTGGAGCAAGCACAGTACCCTGGGGAACTGAGCTCTTCACGGTTGATGGGCTGGATTTTATTTTGTTGACTATTACACATTGGGTTCTGTTAGTCAGGAAATTGTAGATCCATCTGCCTATTTTCCCGGTAATTCCTTTTGAACGCATTTTATGTGCAATAACACCATGGTCACATTTATCAAAAGCTTTTGCGAAATCTGTGTAAATTACATCAGCGTTTTGTTTGTCTTCCATAGCATCTAATGCCATATCATAGTGGTCCAGCAACTGCGACAGGCAAGAGCGCCCTGTTCTGAAACCATATTGTCCGGGGTTATGGAGATGCTGTGATTCCATGTATTTTGTGATCTTACTTCTTAGCACTCTCTCAAAAATTTTTATGACGTGCGATGTTAGTGCTATCGGTCTGTAATTTTTTGCCTCTGCCTTATTTCCTCCTTTATGGAGTGGTGCTATCTCTGCTGTTTTTAGTATGTCAGGGATAACGCCAGTATCTAGGCTTTGTCTCCACAGAATGTGAAGGGCCTGCGATAGTGGTTTTTTACAGTTCTTGATGAATATGGAGTTCCAAGAATCCGGGCCTGGTGCAGAGTGCATAGGCATACTGTTTATGGCTTCTTCAAAATCTAGTGGGGATAGGGCGACGTCTGATATATGATTTGATGTTGGTATCATATCCATGAAAAATTCATTTGGGTTATCAATCTTTAGTGCATTTAATGGCTCGCTGAAAACAGTCGTACTGCTTCCTCAGTAACTCGCTCATTTCTGTGTTGTCATCGGTGAAAGTTCCATCTCCCTTTCGCAGGGGCCCGATACTAGATGTGGTTTTTGATCTTGATTTTGCATAGGAGAAAAAATATTTCGGATTTCTCTCTATTTCACTGATGGCCTTTTGCTCTCTTTGCCTCTCCTGGGTTTTGTATGATTCTTGTAGCTTGAGTTCAATTGTTTCTATTTCTCTACCTAACCTTCTTCGCCGTTCTTGAGATAGGGTGCGACTCTCAAGTTGTTCCGCGATTCGTTTTCTTCGCCTATATAGGGAACGACGTTCCCGTTCCAATCTGCATCTCTTTCTCGTTTTTCTTAGGGGTATGCGGTTTGAACATATTTCTAGTGCTACTGAGCTTATTTTTTCCAAACACTGGTTCAGGTTTGCATTTCCTAGCTGTTCTTCCCAGTTTATTTCTGTGAAGTCCTGGTTTATTTGCTCCCAGTTTATCCGTTTATTATTGAAGTTGAATTTGCTGAAATCTCCTCCACCGGGAATCTGGACTGGTTTTGAAGGTCCATTCCCCATGGTTGTCAGAACTTCAATTAAGTTGTGATCTGAGTAACAGGTATTTGTAATCATTATGTTCCGGATCAACTCATCATTATTAGTGAAAATGAGGTCCAGCGTGTTCTCCTTCCTAGTTGGTTCTACTATTTGCTGGTTTAAGGCAAACTTATCGCACATCCGTAGCAGGTCATTTTCATGTGCCTGTTCATTTAGGCTACTTCCTGGTATTCTTTCTGATATTACTGTATTAGCCAGGTGCTTCCATTTCAGGTGCCGTAGGATAAAGTCCCCAAGCAGGATGATGTTCGGAGCTGGATTTGTGAGGTTTTCCAAGCAGTGCTCTATTTTCATTAGTTGGTCTTTAAACTGCTGAGGGTTTGCCTCCGGTGACTTATATACAAGGACAACAACTACATTTAGGATCTCTATTTTGACTATCAGCACTTCCACCATATCATTTCAGGTGTTTAGCAGCTCAGTACAGATGAGTGTGTCTTTGATGTAGAGGCTGACCCCACCCTGAAGCCGGTGTTTCCTATCACATCTGAAGAGATTGTATTCTGAGATCCATATTTCACCACTGCAGCCACCTGCGATACATATCGATATCCTAGCCTAATTCTGGCAATTACAATGTCACACTGTCATTGTGACACTAGTGGAAGTTTTATGCTGTCCGTTCATATAATTCTCGATTCTAAACATGTTTACTTAGTTTAGTTCATTAATTATGCACCCCATATATCATCTTGTGGGCGGTAGTGGAAAAGGTTGCAGAGGCACATAAACATGTCATAGCTCTTTATACTCTTGCTTTCTGGCTTTTGTGTGTCAGTGACTGCTCTTCTGTCTTCCCTAATTTCCTAAAATATTGCGGCTTTGACAGAAGAGATTGGAATGCCCATATCCCACTCAACTTCAGGCTTATCACATTCAGTTTTAGCTGCCTTGTTTGTGTCATCATGCTGGACAACACCTATATGAGAAGGTATCCATACAAATGAGACTTTGAAACTCCTACTGTTTGCAATAATAATGTTGTTTATAATGGAAGTTACAACTACAACCTTTTGAAGATCAATGCTAATTTTATCTAGATAATGTAATAAACGAAAGTTTTCTATGTCAACAGAAAGGCAGAAATATAAGCTACACTTTAAATACTTGTCATAAATATAACTGAAGTGAAAGCGAAGATATATGCATTTGATACTGTACAGTTTCTTGATGGCTTGCTCTAAGAGTGTGAAACCCTTCACACCAGCCTATAAATTGTGTAATTTATTTCCATATATGCTAATTAACCTTAAAATCTATATGTCAGAAGGAAGGAAGATGTAGACGTTAATGTGACAACATTTCAAGAAATATCTCTCTCTTTAAAGTTAAATAATACAATCCTATCGCCGGTGTCCGGACACATGAAAGCTACTTAGGTATCGGTGGCCAGCCAGGTGGAGATCACAGGCTGTACAATACTGATAAATTATGTAATTCACAGAGATACGTTGATAAATATTAATGTTTTATATTTTATTAAAATACAGATATATACTTTGTTTCATACGTTAAATGTAACAATATTTCAGTATATATTATATAAGCATAGTATATATAATTCAGTATATACAATATATAATAAGAGTGTCAGACCACGGAGGAAGAATTGAAACAGGAATTTCCTTTAGTACTTTCTTATATTAATACATCTTCAGAGCGAACCATTCCTTCTGAAGATGTATTAATATACGAAAGTACTTAGAGCATTCTATTGTGGTTTTAATATTGAACAATTATACATATACGAAACAGACAAATCTGGTGTCCGAAATAGTAAAAATATTAGTGTGCGATGTGATCAATGTAAGGGGGATATTGGGTGTGCCTCGTATCCCCTACAACAACAAGAAGTTCGAGAGCGATGAGGCCGCCACCTACTAGCTTCAGGATGTCGTCGAATCTAAATCAACAATATACTACCGCCGCTACTTTCTCGGAAACGTAAGTACCTGCCGCTTTACTTCTCTCACCCTGCCTAGCCTGGCCTGGCCTGGCCTGACCTGGCCTAGCCAGACCTGACCAGACCTGACCTGGCCTAGCCTTACCTAGCCTAGTCTGACCTGGCCTAGTCTGACCTGACCTGCCCTAGCCTTACCTAGCATAGTCTGACCTAGCATAGTCTGACCTGGCCTAGTCTGACCTGACCTGGCCTAGCCTTACCCAACACTAATCACCACACGTGACAGCCCAAACGAATCGCAAATAAGTACACGTAACAAGTCATATGCCCGGACACTCTTTCACCTTGGGGACTGAGTGGTAACTATTGTATAGAAGAGCCGGCTCCCTGAGAGTGGTAAGAGGGCATGATAAGAGGCTAACGTGTGGTCTTGAAGGAAGTCGATAAAGCAGACAATTTTCAAAAGGAAGGGCAGCATAACGAGCAGACAGGAATGGACAGACAGTCAGTTATCCCATAATGTGTAATACGCCCCGCACAGCATGGGTGGAGTGGGGGGGGGGTTGTAGCAGGGCACAGTATGGTGATGGTGCGGGTGAAGTACACACCCACTGAATTCCTGCCATCAATAATTGTTTCCATAACCATTAGAACAATGGCATCCCTCCAGCCACCATCCTTCCACTGACCCCCTCCTCTGGTCCTCCACCTCAGACAATAACCCCCCACACCCCCTCTCCCTTCCAGACATCAGCATGTCAAAATCAGTACCATAATGTGTTTAAACTATTTAAACTAAGTCATTGTGTATCTCAAGGTATCTTAATTCATTTGAAAGTGTACATGTGCATTCGTTCATATACTCGCCTAATTGTGCTTGCTGGGGTTGAGCTCTGGCTCTTTAGTTCCACCTCTCAACCGTCAATCAACAGGTGTTTACTAGTTGTGTTGTGTTTTTCTTATTGTTTTTGCGGGGGTTGAGCTTTGCTCTTTCGGCCCGCCTCTCAACTGTCAATCAACTGTTTACTAACTACCTTTTTTTTTTTTTTTTTTTTTACACCACACAGAGACACACACACCCCAGGAAGCAGCCCGTGACAGCTGACTAACTCCCAGGTACCTATTTACTGCTAGGTAACAGGGGCACTTAGGGTGAAAGAAACTTTGCCCATTTGTTTCTGCCTCGTGCGGGAATCGAACCCGCGCCACAGAATTACGAGTCCTGCGCGCTATCCACCAGGCTACGAGGCCCCCTCATAGGTGTACAGGTTTCTGAGCCTATTGGGCTCTATCATATCTACACTTGAACCTGTGTATGGAGTCAGCCTCCACCACATCACTTACTAATGCATTCCATTAGATATAATTAGGACAATATCCTAATTGTCCTGCCAATATTGTCCTGGACAATATTGTCCTGCTATTAGGACAATATCCAATTCTGGCCCCAGACATCACTCGGTACCCCTACTCAAATCTCTGAATATGTTAGACATTAAGTCACTGCACATTCTCTCATGTGTATTATACATATATAAAACGCTAAACTATAATGCCAATCCTGATCTCAAAAGCTTCATAGAAGGTTGTAACAGAACCCATGAGCACCACACCAGAAATAAATACAGTTTTGATATTCCTAGAGTACGACTAAATCAAACCAGAAATGCTCTACAAATCAAGGGGCCCAGAATGTGGAATGACCTTCCCAACCATGTTAAAGACTGTACCTCTCTCAACCAGTTTAAGTTAAAAACGAAGCTATACCTAATAAATTCCATGTAACCCACCTTACCCCCCTGTTGTCAACCCATGTATGTTTTTTGTTTTTTTGTTTTTCAAATCAACGCTGTTTGAATGTAATTTTCTGTAATAATTTGTAATTGTATTTGTGCTGCTTTTTCAACAATGTTCCCCCCTCTTTTACCTCTATTTTTTATATGTACTCATCACATCTTTTCTTTTTACCCATTAGTTTTAAGCTGTAGTCATTAATGTTTTTCCTGCCCGAAACGCTTTGCGTAATAGTGGCTTTAGGCATTGTATGTACTAGCTCTATCTATAAAGCCAACAAACTTTGTAAATCTCTTTATGTATGTACCTTACCTAAATAAAGATTATTATTATTATTATTATTATTATTATTATTATTATTATTATTAATCATATATGATTACACATAATCATAATCATTCCATACACATAATCATATATGTGTATGTCAACGTATACATACATGCGTATATATACCTCATATTAAAATACTGATAAACGAATGACCATGAACAAATTCATTTATAATTGTAGCATTATATATAATTTTAATAGACTAATTACGTGTTTATACATTTGAATGGTCCAGACAGGTGGCCAGCCTTGGACATATACACTGCTGGTAGGCACAATGACCTCATGTTAGACCCTTGATAGATTATGTGTGAGAGAGAGAGAGAGCTGGGGCAGGGAGGTGCGTGCCCCAGGGAGATAATCCATGCCCATGCCCCGCCTCGAGGTCAGTTCTCGAGTCACACCAAGAATAACAATCGAGCAAGTTGTCCTGACCAGGATGTGGCATATTAGGGAGGGTTGAGGAATAGGAAGCCTGTCTGATAGGGCTCTTGGCAAGCAGCTCTCCCTCAGTCTACCTATCTATATGGAAGAAATGTATCTAGGCCCTCCTCCCCCCTGCCTATTCTGTCTCCCCCACCTTTCTTCCTTCATTTCCTCCCTCCTTCCCTCCCCCTCACTGGTGAGAGAGTAGGAGTGTGAGAGTGGTTAGAGAACTCGTAGTTCTCACGCTCGTGAAATTGCATTATATGCAGTGAACGTAGGTGTCTATGGAAGAGTACATCATAGAGGAGGGTGAAAGGAAGATGACGCTGGAGGAGGAGAAGGGAGGGGGTGTGAAGGTAGGTGATGATGGAGGAGTAGAGGGGAGGAGGGGGGCAAAGGTAGGTGTCTATGGAAGAGTACATCATAGAGGGGGGTGAAGGTAGGTGGCGATGGAGTAGAGCAAAAGGGGTGGGGGTTGAAAGTAATCCTGAGTTTAATTTTTTAGTTATATATAGTGACACCTCGGCTTACGAATGAATATTTATGAACTTTTCGGGTTACGAGCCTAATTTCTTCGAAAAATTTGAATCGGGTTACAAACTTTGCCTCGGGAAAGGAGTTTGTTGATATACGTATGGGCTGACCTAGCGCGTGGTGGCATGGTGATCGCGCCTCAGTTTACCAGTGTCTCCTGCCTAGTAAGTATCGCGCCTGAATTCTTTATAAAGCATTACATTTGTTTTGGGATTTTTGGCTATTTGAACATAAAATTTGTTATGATATATCTTGCCATGAGTCCCAAGAAAGCCAGTGGTAAGGTTCAAGCCAAAAAAACACATGTGAGAATGACCATAGAGGAAAAACAAGAGAGCATTCATAAACGTCAAAACGGTGCACAGGTTGTTGAACTAGCTAGGCAGTACAACAATCTATGTCAACAATATGCACTATACTTGCTAAGAAAAAGGACATTATGAGCGTTAAAGTGGCAAAAGGCATATCAACAATCCCGAAACAAAGAACACAAACACTTGAGGATGTTGAAAAGTTTTTATTAATTTGGATACACAACAAAGAGTTAGCAGGTGATACCATTTCAGAGGCCATCATTTGTGAGAAACCAAGGCATTTGCATGAAGACCTTTTAAAGAAAACCCCTGGAACGAGGGGGGGGGGGAAAAGATGAATCAAGTTTGAAAATGTGAAAAGTTTGTGTGACAATAGAGCCTCGTAGAAAACTTTTGCTGTGGTCATTACCTGGTGGAATGCACCCAGGATGGAGTATCAGGGCTATACATCTTTTAAATCATAAAAGTAATAAACATTTCCCATCAACCTTACAAACAATATTAACCTATTTTCATGTATTTCCCCCATGTGCATTTTAACAAAGTTACTAAATTGCCTTTATCATTCTGTAAAATTTCAATTACTGTATACTGTATATAATTTTGTTAGTATAAATGGACTGAATATTCTGAAATCACTATTAATTTTACAATTTCAGATTCAAAGGTGGTCTGGACACCCAATTTGGTCAGACAGGTGAAGAGAGCATTTAGGATAGTTCGAAGAGATGAAGATGGTCACAATTGTGTTTGAAGAGGCAAACGCCCCCCCTTTGCTCCTGACATTATGTTCAGCCTATTGACCCCTGCACACCTAACACAAGGTAGGTTGAAAACTCCTCCTTCATGTCATTGGTTCATTAGCCAGAAACTTAGGGCCCATGCAGGAATATCCCTAAAAAAAAAAAGTGGCCCCAACAATGCATCCTCCAAGTCTGGAGGATGAGCAGGAGCATTGTCGAGAAGCAGGCCCTTTAGTGTCAAACTTTTCTCTTGCAGATATTTTTTGATGGCAGGGCAAACCACTCTACATCACAGTTTTTCTGCACGTTATATATTTTTTAAAACTCTTGGATTTTCGGAATGATACACGAGCAAGGGTTTAATTTTCAAATCGCCACACAGCACAAGAGTTAGCCTATCCTGACACAAGTTAGCCCAAGTTAGCTTGTGTCCGGGCAGTGACGTCTCCTCTTGGGTAATGTATGTCCTCTTCGGCAATTTTTTCCAGAATAGCCATGTCTCCTCACAAACACTTGTTGTGGAATATATCCATCAATACAGTATCTACAAAATCTTTAAAATCACGAACAAATCTTTCAGCCCCTACTTTGTCTGAGCTGGCACCCTCACCATGCCTCACAACACTATGAATACCACGTCTTTTTTCAAAATTTCTCAAACCATCCCCTACTCACCTTAAACTCTTTCGTATCTGCAAAACTCGTTCTAGGGGTTTTCTTTATAAGATCTTGCATGAAGATTTCATTGTTGACCAAACCACACACTGGAAATTGAATAGACGACGACATTTCGATCTGTCCTGGACCATTATAAAGTCGATTGTGATGAGATGAGGGAAGCAAGAACATTAAGTAGGCAAGAGAGAGAGGTGAGGAGATGGCAAGTATGTACGTATGTACATGAATAAAACATGTACATACTTATACATAACGTGTGTAAATAGTGTAATAAACACAATAACAGTATTTTGGGAGGAGGAATGTTGGCGAGTAATGTGTTGGAGGAGGGAGGGAGGACTGGCAGGGTGTGGCAGCTCACTCATGTTTTTTGGGCTCACCATACCAACATAGTGGATCGTTATGGTGAATACATACGTAGATGGGTATATACAATGTGTGTATATAGTGTAATAATAGCAAAAACACTGTTTGATTGTAGAATATGTCGCATATATGAGGCCCATAATTTTGAGCATAGCGATGTTCTATACTTTGAATTATATAAATTCCACAAATTACACACTTTTAAATAATATTAGAGCAAAAAAAGAAAGAAGAAATGAATGAGAAACTTCAAAATAATTGCGCAACATTTTATTCGCAGCAACTGTCATCGCACGGGGTGGCGGGGCCGACAGAACCCCATCGCTCCAACGCTCAGCGCCCATAATTTGCTCACCTTCCAAGTTCCATCGCAACTAAAGTAAGTCACATACAATATTTTTTGTTTAGTTTCCCCGTGATCAGACTCTGCATTTTAACAATATAAGAAGAGAAAAAAAGTTTTTTGGAAAGAATTTATTTCTTGTGCACCAGGGTGTTATTTGGAGACAGAGCAGTTCAGTGGTTAACTACTAAATTTTTTTTTCTCCCACACACGCACCCCCCTAGGAAGCAGCCTGTAACAGCTAACTCCCAGATACCTATTTACTGTTAGGTAACAGGGGTCATCCCCTTTTGTACAAAGAATCTGCTAAAGCTTTTAGGGCTAATCTTTGACACTCGTTTGTCTTTGTCGCCCCATATTTTTTACGTCCGAGTTGAATGCTCTAAGGCCCTTAACTAACTTTAGGTCATGTCCCATACTTCTTGGGGAGCTAATCGACACTGCTCCTCTCTTTACATTCCTCTCTCGTTCTGTCTAAACTCAATTATGGCCCTGTTTACTCGTCTGCTTCTCCTTCTACCCTTCACCATCTGGACACACTGCATCATACTGGGTTACGGCTCAGCTCTGGTACCTTTCCTTCGACACCTACCCTAAGCCTGTATGTTGAAACTGGCGTCCTGTTTCTACAGGATCGCCATGATCGCTACTGTCTTCTCCACCTTGCACGGTCCTTACAGCACCCTCACTCTTGCTTATGTCATGCCTTGACCTTTACCCATCCTGTGGTTCCTGTTCCCCTTCACCACCTATCTCTTTCTGTACGGTTGTCTCTCTTACAAAATGCTCTTTCAGTTTGTGTTACCAATATTTCCCCTCGTGTCATTCCGTCTTTGCCCCTATGGAGGGGTCCCCGTTCCTAAAGTCTGTAAGCCTTGACCCACATGACTAAAACTTTTACCCCTCCTACAGTTCTAAATCACCTTTTCCTTGAACACTTTTCTTCACACTTCCACTCTATTTCCGTCTTCACCAATGGGTCTTAAGTCTGCAGACGGTGTAGGCTACTCTGTTGTTTTTCCTGACTGCACCTTTGTGTCTCCTGCCTCCGGAGACTAGCATCTTCATGGCAGAACTTTATGCTATTCTCTATGCTCTTCATCAACTCTTTTCTCGCTGTCAATCCTCCTCTGTGTTTGTAGTTGACACTTGCAGTGCCCTCATGGCTCTAGAATCCTTTAATCCAGTCCATCCTTTGGTAGTTGAAATTCAACATTGGCTGTTTCTTATCTCCAGTAGATTTAAGACAGTGGAATTTCGCTGGATTCCCACCCATATTGGTGCGTTCTTAAATGAGCGTGCGGACACTGCCGCTAAGGAAGCTATCCGCACCTGTCCCATCTCCCGTAAAGGTATTCCTTATTATGACTTTTACCCAGTTATTCATTTCCCCATTCTTGCCCGTTGTCAGGGTTGTTGGTCTTCTGTTACTGGTAACAAATTGCGTGCTCTTAAGAGTAGTGTGTTCCCGTGGCCTTCCTCCTACCACCGTAACCGGTGGTGGGAAACGGCTCTGGCGAGGTTGTATATTGGTCATACACGTTTAACTCACGGGCACTTAATGGAGCGCTGCCCTGCTTTTTATTGTCCAAACCGTTGTCTCTACATGTCCTGACTTCCAGGACTTACGTGTCTTGCTTCCCGACCATCCCTCACTGTCAATTGTCCCTCGATAAAATTCTTGGTAAATTCAATACCTTTGATATTGTTCGCCGTATGCGTTTTTGTTCTTGTATTGGCGACGTTAGTGATATTTAGCGCACTATGATTATCCCACACATTTGATGGTTTGATAATTACTGTACTGTACAGTACTTTGGTTTGGAATGTATCAAATAAAGTTGTTTCATGTATTCAAATGTGTGAGAAAATCCACTGGGGCTGTGAGATGAAGCGAACCTGTAACAAAGGCATTGCCAGTTGCATACTCTACCACCACTGATGGTAAAAGTCTTACAACTGGATATCTTGTGTGACGGGTTATGGTATCACAGCTATACTGAACCAAGATGGTATGGCTCTCCCTCGCATAAATGAAAGAAATGCTGCTATTGGCCTTGCAGTGTATAAGTTGCATGTGGAAACAAATGAAAATTATCAAATAAATAATTAAACAATTTACTGAAATAGTAATGAACAAAAATAACACATGACAATACTTGACTATCATGTAGTGCAAAGGTGAACAAGTTAGTATGACCTTAAATGCAAAAAATAAACTATAAGCAATGAATAAAAGTATGAAGATATACTGGTGTTCTGAAGACAGCTACCATACCACCATGGCATGAGTCACACGACGTTGGCTGGAAGCGGACGACGGGTTAGAGACACGAAGGTGATCCTAGAGCACTAAGGGAGAGATTGCCTCTCCAGGGAGGCAGCGCTCTTTATATAGTCCGGCGGTGATGACTCATCCAGTGTCAACACGAGGTGGACATCTGGTCAACTAGCAAACTGCTCGTTGTGGCTGGCGGTGCCTTTGTGTTGAGCTATACCACTGTCAGTTGAAAGCAGCTAACTGCTTGTTTGTGGGGACAAACTGCCAGTTAGCAGTGGCGCCCGGCTTGCCTCTGAGTCGTACCAGGCCGTGCCAGGCCCTGGGGGGTATGGAGAGGTGGCAGGACTGATGACTCTTCTGGGCTGGTGTAGATGTATACTTCCAGTGCAGAGGCATTGAAGGTGAAGGGAAAAGGCAGTTCCACTGCTATGCAGGGGATTCACGTGACACTTGTGAAGCCACAGAAAGTCTGGAGGCCCTACTGAAGCCAGTCCAAGTATTAAATAAAACCCCTGAAGTACGCCGGTGAAGGGTAAAGTGAAGGGTGAAGCAAGACCGTATGCCCCAACTTCAGGCACACACAGAAAATCACGTTTTGGTCCCGCCTCTCAACTGTGTATTTGAAGTTGGGGCGTATGATGTTGAACTGCTTCAGCCTTCACCTGAGTGCTTGTAGGGCTTACGTAAGACGTTGACTCAAGGAGTGGCCTCAAAACTTGCTGTGATTTATGGGGAAATCCGGTTGTAAGACTTTTACAAAGTCAGTAATATACTGTGGTAGAGTATGCAGCTGCCAGTGCCTTGGGCAAGGGTTTACGTCGCCTCACAGCTCCAGTGGATTTTCTGCTTGGTGTATATCAGGTTGTGATTTTGTGTGTGTACCGTATTGTTATGATCGCCGTTTGATAAGTCCTTTCTGGCCTCAAGAGTCATTGTTACCCACCTAGAAAGATTGCAGATGGCCAAAGCAGTTATTTAAGTTAAGAAGGGACAAGTCTTAAACAGAATTTTGCATAATATTTGACTGTAAAGGGGTAAATTGAGGTAGATTGAAAAACAAAATGGTGAACCGGGCAGGCGGTACTCACAATTAGGCGAGTACACTCGGGAACTTTTAAAGTGCAACCAAACATGCTTTAGGCTCTCACAACAAGAGGTGAGTGGTGGTGGCTCAGGTGCTCAGCCAATCAGAGCACCTAAGGAGGGAGGGCAGGAGTGAGAAGGGGGTGGTATGTGGAAGTTTGGTGACAGTTGTGTGTAGTTTGTTCATCTTCATTGTAAGTTTCATGGCTTGGTGTGCATTTCCCTAGTAAATTTAATTAGGGAAAAATTCAGGTGTTTGATTTTTTAAATCAACTTTTTAAATGTTGAGTTGTTAAAGCCTCAAAGTGCATGGAGTTGGTTTGGGAGTATGGCATCCTCATGCTGTTGCGTGCTCGCGTGAGGTAGCAAAGGTGATGTAAAGTTGTGGGGTGTACATGCTTGGGACGTCCTCTCTCGGGATGGCTGGTGTTAGACCTGTGTGTTTGTCGGTTGTTGAAAAGCCGTCATCCTTTGCTGTTGTGGTATTGATTTTACATTGTTCATCTTGTAATTAATACTGTAGTGCGATATCTAGGGCTACCAATTGTAGGTTTAAAATGTCTAATACAAACAGTTGTCCAATGAGTTTTAATAGGAAATATCATCCACCAAGCACCATTGTACAATTATATTAATTGATAGTATATGGATTGTGCAGAACTGCTTAGAATGATCTTTAACACTTGGCTATATTGGTCATGTCAAATACCTGCACTGTGAATGCTCAAAGACCCTTTCTTTATTCAGTGTTGTCACATACCTCATGGGGGTATGGATAGGCAAACACTCATTCGGTTAAACTTGCCTTGTAGTACTTTCAGAGCTCAGTAATTTGGAATCTGGTTAGCACTTTCCAAATAAATTGACCTTTAAAGTGAATTCCTATTTAGGTTTAAAACATTATACCGAATGAGAAACTCGGATTATATAGCCGAACACCAGAAATGTTGTTATTCAATTTGGTTGCCTAAAGCACATTCAAGGACTACACATTACATGGCATTCCAGGATTCCTCTATACCTTGCCTTATGCTGTAAACATTGCCACAACCCTGTGTTTTATTGATTTAAATGGCCACAGGGAGGCATACAACACTGCAGATTATGATGTCATTAGTTATCCACTGTGCTGACAAGTGGGCTGACTGATGTTCGTTGACACCTGTATCGTGCTTCAATTTAATCGCCAGGAGATCACCCTCTCACTAGACTCGTCTGTAGGAAGTACAGTATAGTATCTCAAATTACCTTGGATCATAAATAGCATAAGACTTGGGGGTAGGAGAGGGTTGCAGTGTTTGTCATGGCTCTCAGTTGTTCCTGGTATTAGGCAATTTAGTTCTGGAATCATTTTTGTTGGCCAATGTTAAACTTTTTTGAAAGTAGATGTTTTTCTGAAAGGGAAGGGGGGGGGGGGAACCTCTATGCTTGGATACAGTTATCTAAGTGAATACTTAGACTTATACAGTAGAATAACTACCTTCTTTTCCTTAGTCAAAAAGGTTGCTTGTTTATTTCTAGGGACTTGTATTTTCTTTTATTTTTAACTGCAGCAACTTTCAGTGAATGATAGATTCTTACTGAAAGGACCTTTACTTCATTGTTGTTGCTTTATGGTCATCTCATTGTGTACAGGGATTCCGCGAAGCTTTTGGGGTTAGTCTTTGACACT